GTGCCGTACTACATTAGGGACCCAAAAGGGGACCATAGTTTTCACAACCACCTGGTGTTTCGGTGTTTCCAAGCAGTCAAGTAGACGTCCCGGACTACCAGCTCCTCCCCAGATATGTAAAGGTTCAGGTTACTGACCCTAGGGTCCAAAGGGCCTCATCAGAAAATACTTGTGTTTAGGGCAACAGTTTTGTTGTATGATTCTAAGTTACTTGGACCCTTAAAAAGCTTTCCTGATGTTCAGATAAAGCTGCAAATCGAGCGAGCGGCTGCATAATCTGCATCGACAGGACCGTGCGCAGTAAGCCGCCTTTCCCAAAACTCGAAACCTACGCCCAAGAAGCCCACGACCTTGAACCTCAAACCCACCCTAAACCCTGCTTGAATAATATAGGGGCCTTAACAATTAGAACAGGCTTTTTGGGCCCATTATACTATAATTTAAATCAAGGAACCCCCCAAAATAGTACTGACAAATTGGTAAATGTTTCGGCGTCTATAGTCTATAGTGCGTACTTTCTCATCAAAATCACAAGAACTATTGTGGCCCCTAAATGCGAATCTAATCGTGCGCACCGGGCCTCTGCACAGAGGCCCGAACGACCCTCGTCGTCGCCGATGTAGGGTCTTACCTGTTCCCACCGAGTCTTCGTAGGCGGTTGCCAAAACATTAGGGTTTCGAACTTTTGTTTTCTGAGGGCTCTTTTCCAACTGTTGTCCAGCGAGGTTTCGGAGTTTAGGGTTCAGGGTTTAGGGTTTGGAGTCAGAATTAACAAGTCTTGTGGGCGCTATGTCCAACGATGTCCTACTTATACCTCATTTACACAGCCCCCCGATCCTGCAAGTTAGTTTAAAGGTAGAAGGCGTCTCGTGCTGGGAGGTAGACCTGAAACTACAACTGGTTCAGGTTTATGGTTTAGGGTTCAGGGGTTGGCTTGGTTGGGGGAATGGTCCTAAAGCCTACCAAACATGTGCCGACGACTTCACAGATGCGTGTCCAAAAAGAGCCTCCGAAATGGCTGGAATCTGTCATTCAGCCTCCTTCCTCCTCCGGAAAGAACCAGAAGAGCATCGCAAAGCTAACGCACCCTAGCACCCTTCCAAACAGCCTAAAACCCGCATAACAACAGCAAGCTCTACATCCTAGGCTCCTAAATCCCAGAATAGGCTACATCCCAAATTTAAAAGCTGCATCATCAACCCGGGTTAGCCTGAGGCTCGCAGTTGCACGCATCGCCCCGAAGGTAGCCGTCCGGCACCCGCCCTTCATCCTGTAGCGCTGGCAAGCTTAGGAACAGATTCTGGATTTCGGGTTTATAAAGTATGCAGGGTTTCGGGTTTGAGAAAAAGGGTCAAGGGTGTAGGGTGTATGGATGCGGAGTGAACGAGTTGTTTGGAGGCTCGGACTGTTTAGGACCTTGTTACGACAGTGGTTCTGCCCCTAACAAACTCTCCCATCTCGCAGCCTGGGCTACAGGTGGAGTCTAAGAACAACGCCAGAAGTCCTAAGTTCTAACCGTAGGGACCCTTAGGGGGGTAGGGGGAGGGGGTGTAGGGGGCCTTGATGCCCTTAACGGACCCAAAATGTGAGAATCCCTGCAAATAAGTCTGGATTTAGGGTTTAGTAAGTAGGTAATATTTAGACTTATACAAGGGACCCTAATTGGGGTTATGATACTTATAAGTCTGTAACATAGCTACTTGATACGTCCCCCGACCCTGCAAGTAAAGGCTCGGGCCGAAAGGGTGTGAGAGCAAGCCATCCAACAATGTCTCATGCGAGTTCCCGAATATTTGGTTTAGGGTTCAGGATTTAGTGTTTTGTTGTTTTAAAGGGCTCCTTTTAGGGTCTAGGATTTATTATATAGCTGTGGTGGAAAGCCCTATGCACCTGGCTGCCTAGCTGTTGTGGCTTGTGGGGCTGGGGCGGATGCAAGGCGTACCCCTTCCATCCCCTATCTTAACCCTGAAGAACCTACCTTTTTAGGGCTCCTTGTTAAGACTCCTTTACATAAGTCCTTAAAAATGGGTGGGTTCTTCAGGGTTAAGGTACCCCTTTAAAGCCCACACCCAGAACCCCAAACACGAGGATCAGGATCCCCCCCCACACAATGCAAATTAGGGCTCAGAAGTTGGTAAACATATGGCAGTTGTCAAAATAAGGCTCCCTTTCTGGGTACCCTAAATATTAGGTGCCGCATTTTATTAAGGACCCCCAAAAAAGGGACCAGAATTTTGATAACCACTTATATGGGCTTTCAGGACTAGAAGGTGGTGCTGGGTCATTAAAGGATACATAGTAATTGTAGGAAGGTGCCCCAAAATAAATACTGTTTCCACCTAAAAACTAGGTCCTCAATTATATTGCCTCCCTTAACCTCTAACTCTAGCCCTAAGCCGGGCGCAACAGCTTGACACACCAAGGGCTCGAGCCAGCAAGGTGTTCTGGAAGCCGTTGCTCAAGATGGTTGGCGCCTCGGTCAGCATAGGCGCTGTTGGACTGCATCATAACTTTGCAAACGCGCCACCCCTGCTACTGTTGTTTTGTAATCGTTGGTGTTCCTGGCTGCTGCAGCTGCTGCTGTTGTTGGCCCTTGTTGCTGCTGACGGTAACAGCTTGACTACAAGCCTTGACCCCGAACCCTCTAAACACTGAAACCTTGATGTCTTGAAGACTGAACATCCTGAAACCTTAAACTCTAAACCCTGAATCCGAAAAACCTTTCAACCCATCTCTGAGAGCATGACAAAGGGATTGCCGAGTTGGTATCCCGTCTCGGATTCCTCGCAGACCGCCACCTGTAGGGCTTCCAGCTCTATCCCAAAAATGAGCACAATGGTGAAGGGCTTCGGGTGTAGGGTTTATGGCTCCGGGCTTTGGGACTTGGGGCTCTAGGGTTGGGGGAACGAGGATTGGGGGAACTTAGTGGAAGGATCTTAACCATAAACTTGGACGGTCCAAACAAGAAAGTACACTGGCAAGCATACGTTTGGACCCCTAAACCCCCTCATTGTAGAGCTCTTACAAGAGCGCTTAAGCAACCCTCATAGATCCTTTAAAGGAACCCTAAACCCCAAAACCTGAAACCCTCTGGTGGTCCTAATTCCCAGATTCGGCTCGGGAGTGCACAGGATTGGGGATGATGCACAAGTCTAACACGGGTGCTTCGTTACTAAAAAAGTGATAAGGGGGCTTAGGCAGCACAAAAGAAGATGATTGAGATTCCTTCAAGCCCCTGCGTCAGAACTCATAGTTTAGGGTTTTAGGTTTTAGGATCTTAAAGGTTTAGGGTTTAGAGAACTCATAGTATTCAGTCAGTGTCTTGGGGGGAGGTCGGAACGATGGGTAGATGGGTATGGGCACGGAGTCCAGGGGTGTGGAGGACGAGGCTGGCTCCTGCAATCAAACGGCTGTACTGCGCAAAGAAGCCCAAACCTCACCTTAACCCCAAAAACCCTACCTTTTAAGGATGTATATATAGAAATCATATTAGGGAACCCTAAAAAAGGTAGGCTCCTGAGGGTCCAGGTAGTTCTTAAACACCTCAAAGGCTGAGATACAAAAAGGACCCTGTTGGCTGATCCTTGAAACCCTACAACCCTACACCCCAAACCCTAAACCCTAACCTCAAAGGCTTAGAGCTTGCTTGGGGAACTATCAGACATGTGGTCTCTGCAACCTGAGCCCTCGAAAGTCCGTGAAGGGATGTAGGGTTTCCGTAGAGGGTCGGGGGACTTAGTAAGCAGGTGCTAAGTAGACATATGTATATATATATATATATGTACCCTAAACGGGATCCTAATTGGGCTTATTTTCTGCACAATACTTCCTTGAACCCCAAAACACAACCCCCCCCCCCCCCCCAAACTCCAAACCCAAATCGAAACAAAACCCCAAAGCTCGAAAGCCCGAAGCCCTAAAACTCCAAACGGAACTCACGAGGCCAGGAGGCCTTGAGCATCTTTGCACAGTGGGACGTGAAAGAGCACCCTCGGCAGATGTGAATCCTCTCAGAAGGTCACCGTCTCGAAGGGCTTAGATTTCGGCTTTAGGGTGTCGGGAATTTAGGCTTCGATTTCGGAATGACTTGGTAAGGCTTACATTTAGGGGAGGGTTTAGGGTTAGGGCTTGGGGTTGAGGGGAGCTAGGATGGGACTTGGGGGTCTGCACATCTGCATATCAGAGCTTCCACTGCTGCCGGCTAGTGCCTCACCCTTCATTTTCACGCCCGGAGCCTGCGCTCTGTGTTTTCCGCCTTGCTGTAATTGTTCGTTGTCCGCAATTCGCACGATCACGCTTGTTTACGGAGTGGGCTTCTGCAGTGCTGTACCGTGTTTACGCCTTCCTCAGAAGTAGGTAGCAGTTAGAAGTGCGACCCGTTCTTGTTTCGAAGTTCTCCTGGGATGCCAAGCCCCCGCCGTCCGCATCAGGGTACTTGTCATGGAATCTTCACCTGAACCCCTTAACCCCAATCGCAGTGATGCAGAAACCCCAAACCCTAAACTCTAAACCCCTAAAGCCGTGAACTCGCTACGCGCCCACAGCCCGCAATCCCCGAACCCGACTGCTCATCCATCGGGTTCCAAGTCCCTGAAACTAGGATCGTATTATAGCTCCAAAGCCCAGAGCCCTAGAAAGCCCATCTGTATCTTGCAACACCCCACCGCAAGGCCTGTAAGCCTCAATCCTACCTATAGTCTCCATTGTAGTTCATTTTGGGGGTTACCATACAAAATCCTGCTTGTAAAGTTTGTTAAACCAGACAAGGAATTACGATGGAGACTGTACCCAGACCCCGAGGAAGATTCTCGCGGGGGTCTGGGTAAGTAGGCCCTACAGGTTGCTAACCGATTCTTTTCAGCTTCCCTGCTCTGTCTCTGCGGAAGCTTGAGGAGCTTTATCTGTCTGGTACTTAGCAGGGAATGGGGGAAATGGATGTCTATAGTAGTCCCTACATAGTCCCCAATAATAGTCTCCATAATCCATTCTCCCAGTCCCTACTAAGAGCCAGACAGTCCGAACGGCGTCGCTCCGTGCTGCAACAACAGATCCCTTGTGGGGCCAACAGCATATGTCAAAGGTGTACCGCCATACACGTTGCTAGGAGATACCTCCGCCTTGTGTGCCAGGAGCAGTCCCACCATAGCAGGATTAAAGATTGCGCGATGAGAACTCTTGTGCAGGGGTGTGTCGCCGTTGACATCGCGGGAATTGACTTCTGCCTTCTGATCGAGGAGCAATGCGAGCACCTGGGAGCCGCCGGGTTTCTGGCTCCCTGCAGCCAGATGGAGCGGCGTCTGTAAGCGCTCATTGCGGGAATTGACGCAGGCCTTATGCTCGATGAGAAGTCTTGACACCTTCAAATGGCCCTGCAGGGCAGCGCCGTGAAGGGGCGTAGAGCAACCACGAGCAGGCTCATTGACCTCTGCCCGGTGTTCCAGGAGTAGCACCACCAACTCCGAGTATCCCCTGCTGGCAGCTGCATGCAGGACTGTTTGGCCGGATCGGTCGGCAGTGTTGGCATCTGCCTTCCGAACCAGGTCCTGCAAATCACGGCCCTGGTCAGCTGAATTGTACATCAGGCCCTTGCCGAACATTGTGTAGTACTCGTACACGTGCTCAGCTTCCTGAAATCGGTGCATCTTCAGAAGGCTCAATTCTAACCTGGGTTGTAGTTCAAAGGCATACAAAAAGGTTGGGAATGCGGTTTCTGTGCAAACCCTACACCCTGAACCCTGAACCCTAAACCCCTAAACAATCACTAAGCAAACTGCTCCCAAACTGCCGCCTGGTAACTTCTTTAAAACGTCCCTTTCCTCCTCATTCGCAGCCTCTGCATCAGCTCGGGCCTCTTGCACATGGGAGAGAAGACCTAAACTCATAGGGACCCTTAGGGGGGTTGGGGGAGTGGGGATAGGGGGCCTTAATGCCCATAATAAGGACCTAACAAAGCTTATTTAAGGAAATATAATCCCCTGTTACACCCTACAACCTCCGAAAGCCCGGACGTGTCTCGGGCCTCTGGAAAGTACAACAGAATATGGTTCAACCGCTGGCCCTAGCTCTATGTTTCACGCGACCGCCGTCGGCATAGCAAGCTGACCTTCGAGAAAAGATTCCTTGCACCGCTTCTAGAGGCGAAAGGCTTCAAAGGCAGCTATAAACCCTACGATATAGTGGCCTGAATGATTAAACCAGGGTTGTGGGGTATGTTACACTGTAGTTATAAGAAGGAACCCCTAAAATAGTACAGCTAGGTAATTATTAAGGCCCCCCCCTTCAAACCAATAAACCCTGAGCGCACTAGACCCTAAACCCGAGCCCTTTTACGACTCAAAGCCGCCCCCTGCCACGTGCCTGGTTCATGCCGGGATGCTCCACTGCAAGCAGCAGCTCTTGGCCCGTCTGGCTCTTCAGCTGCTTCTCCTCTGCAAGTCCCATGAATCAACACCTACTTGTGCAGTATCCTGGGGAACTATAGGTTGACCTTTGGGAGTGTGTTGGGATTAGATAGATAGGGACTATTATGGCACCCCAGGGATTATCGAGAGACTATAGTAACTATAGTACCCCCAAAGAGGTTAAAGGTTGCCTGCGCAACAACTTTGAACACAAACCAATAGGATTACTTTAACGACAAACAAGCCCTGTACGATGCCTCCACCAGCTGCGTCACTTGCTGGGCCAAAGCAGAGTCCAAGTTGCAAGTTTCAGCGTTCGCACAGTCGAGGCATCGCCAATGTAGCCTCGATCGGTGAACGAAGTCCTGCAATCGCCAGTGCTGCTCCTGCTTCACCTTCACCCATGCGCCCAAGCGAGACAAGAGCTGCCGCTGGAGTGCCGGGCTGGTCTGCGAGCATGTGCCCTGCATGTCGATGAGCAGAACTTGGGGCGACCAGTAGCCAAGGCCGTAAGCAGCCACTCCCAGTGTCGGGATCTCATGTTCGTACAAAACGGCCTTTTGAAGTGCCCGCTCGCCGTCCATGTCCTTGTTGACCAAGGCGACAACAGTGCTTTGTCGCCTCTCCATCATGCCTAAGACGAAGCTCATGCTGGCAATTGCCCACATGTTCGTCAGCAGCTGGCGCGTGGCTTCTTTGTAGCAGTCCACTAGGTCATCGTTGCTGTTAATGACCTGAGAACTACTTGATCCTACGCGAACAAGAACAACTTCTGAGACTGTACAAGATAGAAACAGACCAAACATCGTTCCCCAACCCGAACCATTTCGCCGCATTGTTCAGTTGCCACCCTACTTCTTCTGTCCTGCCTGCCCTAGCCAGCTGTCGGGATGGACGGTGGCATGGTCCGTGGCAGTGGCAAACTCATGTAGTGTCTGTAGGGTGGTGCGATTTCTCGGGTCCGCATCCCAAAAACCGGCCCACAGCATGGCAGGGCTGTGTGTTCGGGCAAGGGGGATCAGCCAGGCCCGCAGGAAGTAGAGCGCATGGACCGTGGCCACGGTGCCTCCGTCCAGCTTGAGGGATGCCAAGTCGTCGATCGAAACCTGCATGGCCTCCACTAAAGCACTGCCACGGACGAAGATGTCGTCCACGCTCTCATTGCAAGTCTTCTTTGGGAGCGGCGGTGTGTAATACTGAAACACAAAGTGCTCTTGAGGGTTCCGTTCTTCACAGGCGGCTGTCAGGTTGGCGATCACGTTGCCGAGCTGCCGGAAGCAGCCTGAGACACCGCCCTCCGCCCAGGCATTTCGGATACTTCCGATCCGCTCCTTCAACGAAGTCTCGTCGTGCGACGCCTTTGCAACGGATTCTCCGCCCCACAGCATGCGCTGCAGATGTTGCTTTGCATGCATGCGCTGCAGATGTTGCTTTGCATGTGTGAAACCCTGCGCCCAGGCCCAGCCAGCTCCTCCGGAGGGCGTCTTCAACGACTCTTCCTTGGCGAGCTCTTCCAGCAGCAAGCTTCGGAGCTCTTCGGACGAAGTGTTGCGCCAAGTCGGTAGAGAACTCGGGGCTGCGTCGTGCTCTACACGGATCCCGAGCGCCCAAGGAAGAAAAGCGGCGAGGAGAAAGGCGACAGTCACCACACCAGGGAGTTGAACCATGGCTACTACTAGGGGCCTCAATAATTACCAATGCTATTTTGATTAGAGTGTATAATGGGCCAGAAAGGAATTGCACCATGGCTACAAAAATGGGGCCTTAATCGTTAGAATAGGGTTTTGGAGCCCATTATATCATATCCATAATAAGGAAGCCCCCAAATTGGTATATAGGTAATCCTTAATTAAGGCCCCGGTATTACATGAATTATCGAATGTCACAGACGGCGTCCTGCTAAGCAGGCAACTTGAACACGAGGGTCAGATTCAAGCATTGGAGCACCTAGCTCTGCAGTTGCAGTACTCATTAGAAGGCCTCGAACAAAGTATGCCTGTATTTCCTCCAGATTCGTGGGGGTTCCCGAGTGTACTGATATGATGACGCACTACCATCGGCACCTGTCTAACAAATCGATGTTTCTATGTGCGTCGGAATCGCTTCTTGTACATGTGGCCCAATGCAATGAACTGATGTAGGTTTGTGTCCTGGCTTCTGGGGAAGTGTACACAAATTCGGGACTTCCATTTAACGAGTATTGCGATGGACTTCTGCAAAGTAGTGAGTTTTCCCGGTATAATCTGGGAGTTCCACATCGTTCTTCATCCGAAACCCTACACCCCCAAAGCCCTAATAACCCCAAACCCTACCTTAACCCCAGATAACCTGCCTTCTTGAGGACTTATATAAAGAAATCATACTAGGGAACCATAAAAAGGTAGGTTATTTGGGGTTCAGGTAAACCCTAAAACCCTAAACCCGCCTTTTCAGAGCCCCAGGGGGCCGGGTCCTCATGTGCCTCAAGGGGTCCAAGGTGGTCCACAGAGATGTATCGTGGGCAACCTCTGATGCCTGCTCAGGCGGTCCATGCCCTTATTGTGTCATAGAGGGGCCGTAGTACTTAGAATGGGCGTTTGGTGTGTGTTGTGGCATGTGTATATATATATATATATACACATATATATATATATATATATATGTTACGATACCCTGAGGAATAATGTTGGCAATTTTTCAAGCTTCTGGATTCAACGGTGTACAGGGTATTCAATTATTCAGACCCTTTGGGTCTAGCTCGTCTGACGGCTCATGATCGAAGTACGGCCTCGCCCCCGAACTCGTAGGAATATCAAAGGGGAAAGGAGGGACCCTTAATGGGGATCCCTACTCTATAATGGGCTATATAATGGGTATATAATGGCTATATTATGGGTATATACCTAGGGGTCCTTATTAAGGGTCCCTCCTAGAATAGCACTTCGACAACCCTAAACCCGCGGTACCACTACCACTGACACGAAAAGCGGAGCGAGCGCTAGGAGCTGGAGGTACCCGGTGTATGACCTATGCCCGCAACCTAACATGGAGGATTCAACAATTTTAATTTCCAATACTATCTTGGGGTTCCTCATTATGATTATAAAAGCAATATATACCACCAACAGCCCGTTCCAATGTTAAGGCCCCTATACTAGTCAGCTCCGACCCTGGAGGAAGGGCGGCCTCGAAGCAGGGGCAGTAGAGGCCATAGCGGGCAGAACCTCCAGGCAAGACCGCGGCAAAGCAATGAGCTACTTACTTGTCGCGGATCCTGGGGAACTAAAGGTTAACTTTTAGGAGTGTTTTGGGGAATATATATATATATATATATATATATATATATGCATATACATATATATATAACTCGGGATCATAGTACCCCAAAGCGGTTAAACGTTACCTACTCTACTACTATGTAGGTTGAGCTGTTGTCTTCGGACTCTGCTGGAGCTCCGCTCTGGCTTCTCAATTGCATCGAAGGTTCAGGGTGCAAGGGAACGCGGGAGCCCGACACCAAATTATTTTGTGCTAGGCCTTGAGAGTTAGAATGGGGTCTTGGGGGCAAAGAAAACTATCACTAAAATGACGGACTCCAGGAATAGTATTGGTAATCATTTAGGCCCCTATACTACTTAGACCCAAAAGCCCTCAAGCTCGAAAAATCCAAGGAGCCGTGCAAAACTTCACATGCGGGCAAAGCGGCAACCAGGGGCAGTTCTCTAAATTCCCAGAGAGCCCAATACCCCTTCATTAAGGAATATAGCTTAAACCATAATATGAAGCCCTAGAAAATTTAAGGCATCTTCCTTAATTAAGGGGTATTGGGCTCTCTAAATTAGGGCACCTGTGCACTCTGGGATCCCCAGGTGCGCCACCCTTATCAAAGGACGCCAACATGGAGAATCCAGGAAGATAAGACCTCGCAACACTGAAAAAACCTATGGTGTTTGAGAGCTCAGAGATACCCTGAACCCCTAAACCCTAAACCCTTACCCCCAGAACCTGAACCCAGGCCCCTCCGCTCCCAGGCACATTTGTGCTGGTAGAGGATGTTGTAAAGCCAGGAGATGGTCAGAAGACGCATGCAGTAGGCACAGTTGCCTTTAAGGCTTTGGGCTTAGCCTTTGTGAGGCGTTAGGGTTTAGATTCAGGGTGCAGCCTTTTTGAGGGGGCTTGCGGAGCTAAGATTTGGGGGTCGGTAGCGTTGAGGCAGGTTAGGATTTGGTTTCAGGTTTGGGGCGTGGGCACTGATCTGTCGGCTTCTGAGTGAGTGAGCGCACAGAACTTTCCTAGACATATCTGCTTCCAAGGGTTGCTCTAAACCCTAAACCATAAACCCAAAACCCTAAACCCGAAAAGCACCGTATGCCGTGCCAGAGATAGCTCTGGCAGGCGAATCCACGAATAAGAAACGGATCCAAGGTGCACTCTGCAAAGTAGAAGGTGAAGGGATCGTGCTTGTGCTCCATCACGCAATACCTCGGAAGGATGCTTGGAGGGAAGTGTCCTTGGGAGTGAAGGGCATACCATAAACTCTAAACCCTGAATAACCTACCTAAAAGCAAAAAGGTAGGTTATTCCGGGTTAAAGTAAACCCTAAACCCTACAGATGTCTGGTTCTTAGCCGGAGGGCCAGAGGATTCCAAGAACGTAGGGTCTCTCTATCGGTCTCTATCTACCGGCCTCTCCATATATAGCCTATGTAGATATATGTATATGTGTATATATACATATGTATATGTGTATATATATATATATGTGCAAATGTAAAAGTCTATTATATGTATAGAGATGTGTAGAAAGATTTGTATTCATATACTTGTTTACACTCAGTTACACACCTGACGGTGCTCTCCCGCTTACATGTCAAGTCTCCACACCCTGTACCTTGCAGCCCTGGCTTTGTGAGATGCCAAATATCAGAAGCACAGCAACGATGCGTTTAGGGTTCAGGGCTTAGGGTTTCGGGGGCAATTACTAAGAACACTGATAGCAATGGCAAATCACCGGGGCGATGGCAACAACAACATCAGAAACGGGCGGCAGCAGCAACGATGACGACGATGAAACACAAACTCAGATGGCCCTCACTAAACCCTAAACCCTAAACCCTATGTCAATGTCAACCCTAAACCCCTTAAACCTGAGCCGTAAATGAGCTAAGCCCTCGGTCTGAAGCCCGACACCCCCGAAGCATGAAACCTAAACCCCAGGCATCGAGAACCGCTACGAAACCCTGGTGCAAACAGGTATTCGACAAAAGACCCCCAAAACCCACCAAATAATCTGTCTGACGAATACTACCAAAGCCTATAAATTCTGCTAAACAAACATGAAAACCCCATCAAAAGCCCCAACTAAAGCTGCTTCCCGGCTGGAAAAGGCTCTCGCGCTTGAAGAGCTCGGGCGCCTGGCTGGTAGAAGACCAACTTAGTTGCTGCGTACAGTAGCCTTTTAACGTGTAAACTGTTAAACTTGTAGTTCTATGAAGGATCATACTAAGTCAACGTTGCTTGGAGTTTCCCAGAGACTCCAAAACCCTACCTTACCAGGAGCATGAGTCTTGTTGTTACAATTCTTGCTACTGCTATTTCTTATTGCAACTTGTTCTTGCTTCCTTGCAACTATTCTTGTTCATTACACAAATCTTAGTGCCAGCATGAATACTTTTGTGACGATTTTCATGTTAGTATTGCTGTTAAGACTATTTGTGGAAATACTCATGTTACCATCATTGTTTAAATACCCATGTTACCATCATTGTTTATAACCCTAAACCCTAAGCCCTAAACCCTAAACCCTAAACCCCATGGAGGCATCTGGAAGATGGGATAAAGTACACTCCTCAACTGAACTGTTTTGGAGTCTCTGGGCACTTAAAGGGTCATGGGATTTAGTAACTAGGGTTATAATTAAGATAACTATACTTATAACCCCACTTAAGGTACTTATAACCCTACTTACTAAGTCCCATGATCCTCCAAGTACTGGGATTTCCTTTCACCCAGACCTAGACCTAAGAGTAACCTTTGAATGGAAAGGGTGCCCTTTTTGGCTTAAAGAGGATTATAAGGGAACCTAAACCCTAAAAAGGGAATAAGGGCCTACTCTGGGTCCTAGCAGACTGACCCCAAACACATAACCCCCACACCTCAAGAAGCACTGCACCTTCTGTGCCTCATAAACCTCATGTTACAGAATGAGTCTGTCGGTCTGTGGACAATTTATACGGTCTTGAGCTGGAGGCAACTGATTCAGAGAAGCATGGCCGTTTAGTTGCCTATTTGTGTGTAACTTGTACTGATGTTAAATGGGATTTAGACAACTAGGCATCCGCTCTCGAACTTGGGGTCAGGAAGTGCCAGCAGAAGCATGTTCGTCAACGCCACTGCTCCAGCAAAAACCTGCGGATGTCTTATATAACTACATGGGGTTCCCTGTACAGTGCGTCGCAGAAGAATTCGTAGAGGATTGCTCCCTCCCTCTGAATCCCAAATTCCGAAAATCCTCGCGAAGCACGGTTGCCTTCTGCAAGATTTGCGAGTCGCTGATCGTCAAGGATCGGGTGCCGTCCTCAGCATTCTCAGCTACTTCGACGCCATGTAGCGTGCCCAGCCCCAGCTTTAGTAGCTCACAACTTCCCCCACAATTCGGTGCATAGCCGAAGGGCCTTCCCCCAGTTCACAGTCGGTCATGAGAGATGCGGAAGATACTATAGGGGCCTAAATACATACCAATACTATTTTGGGGGGGTTCCTTAGCATGATTATAGTATAATGGGCCCCAAAAAACTCTATTCTAATTATTGAGGTCCTTACATTATAGTACCCTTATAGGTCCCTTACAGAGCCCTTTGAGGACACCTTTAAAGGACCTTGTTCTAATTATTGAGGCCCCTATATCAACTAGTGGCTTGTATCAGGCCCGTACCGCCTTGCTTTTCGAGATGGAAAGCCTGTCAATCCTTTGCTTCAGGCTTTATACGGTTTCGGGTTTTATAAGCCTAAGGCATCCTCAACACATGTCTTCGAGGAGGGGACGCAGCGGAATACCCCTAAACCAATCCTAAACTCAAACCCTAAAGCCCCAGACATCCCAAAGCCCTAAGGTCTGAAGTTAACCAGGGAGCAAAAAGTATAAACTTTAGAAGGGGCCCCCACCCTGTAATAGTGACCATAATGATTATATAGGATTATATTAGGGCCCTATTATATTCCTCTTATACCACTATTACAGGGTGGGAGCAAAAAGTACCCAGAGTCTCCATTGTAGTTCCTTTTTTGGTTTAACCAAATATATGATTAGGATCCTATAAGGTAACCCCAAAAAGGAGCTACAATGGAGAGCACAGGTATAAACTTTCATGTCACAATGGTGCCCTTTATGTAGAAGGGCCCCAAAAAGTATTGGAGCATGGGACTCCAAAGCCCAGAGCCCTAGAAAGCCCATCTGTATCTTGCAACACCCCACCCGCCAGGCCTGTAAGCCTCAATCCTACCTATAGTCTCCATTGTAGTTCCTTTTTGGGGCTACCATACAAAATCCTGCTTGTAAAATTTGTTAAACCAGACAAGGAACTACGATGGAGACTGTACCCAGACCCCGGGGAGGATCCAACAAGTAGATCCCTGGGAGTTCCTCTAAAGTACCCTTAGTAGTATAGGGCCCAAATTAGGGGATCTACTTTCTAGATTCTCGCGGGGGTCTGGGTAAGTAGGCCCTACAGGTTGCTAACCGATTCTTTTCAGCTTCCCTGCTCTGTCTCTGCGGAAGCTTGAGGAGCTTTATCTGTCTGGTACTTAGTAGGGAATGGGGGAATGGATGTCTATAGTAGTCCCTACATAGTCCCCAATAATAGTCTCCATAATCCATTCTCCCATTCCCTAGTAAGAACCAGACAGTCCGAACGGCGTCGCTCCGTGCTGCAACAACAGATCCCTTGTGGGGCCAACAGCATATGTCAAAGGTGTATCGCCGTGCACGTTGCTAGGAGATACCTCCGCCTTGTGTGCCAGGAGCAGTCCCACCATGGCAGGATTAAAGATTGCGCGATGAGCACTCTTGTGCAGGGGTGTGTCGCCGTTGACATCGCGGGAATTGACTTCTGCCTTCTGATCGAGGAGCAATGCGAGCACCTGGGAGCGGCCGGGTTTCTGGCTCCCTGCAGCCAGATGGAGCGGCGTCTGTAAGCGCTCATTGCGGGAATTGACGCAGGCCTTATGCTCGATGAGAAGTCTTGACACCTTCAAATGGCCCTGCAGGGCAGCGCCGTGAAGGGGCGTAGAGCAACCACGAGCAGGCTCATTGACCTCTGCCCGGTGTTCCAGGAGTAGCACCACCAACTCCGAGTATCCCCTGCTGGCAGCTGCATGCAGGACTGTTTGGCCGGATCGGTCGGCAGTGTTGGCATCTGCCTTCCGAACCAGGTCCTGCAAATCACGGCCCTGGTCAGCTGAATTGTACATCAGGCCCTTGCCGAACTTTGTGTAGTACTCGTACACGTGCTGAGCTTCCTGAAATCGGTGCATCTTCAGAAGGCTCATTTCTAACCTGGGTTGTAGTTCAAAGGCACACAAAAAGGTTGGGAATGCGGTTTCTGTGCAAACCCTACACCCTGAACCCTTAACCCTAAACCCCTAAACAATCACTAAGCAAAACTGCTCCCAAACTGCCGCCTGGTAACTTCTTTAAAACGTCCCTTTCCTCCTCATTCGCAGCCTCTGCATCAACTCGGGCCTCTTGCACATGGGAGAGAAGACCTAAACTCATAGGGACCCTTAGGGGGTAGGGGGAGTGGGGATAGGGGGCCTTAATGCCCATAATAAGGACCTAACAAGGCTTATTTAAGGAAATATAATCCCCTGTTACACCCTACAACCTCCGAAAGCCCGGACGTGTCTCGGGCCTCTGGAAAGTACAACAGAATATGGTTCAACCGCTGGCCCTAGCTCTATGTTTCACGCGACCGCCGTCGGCATAGCAAGCTGACCTTCGAGAAAAGATTCCTTGCACCGCTTCTAGAGGCGAAAGGCTTCAAAGGCAGCTATAAACCCTACGATATAGTGGCCTGAATGATTAAACCAGGGTTGTGGGGTATGTTACACTGTAGTTATAAGAAGGAACCCCTAAAATAGTACAGCTAGGTAATTATTAAGGCCCCCCCCTTCAAACCAATAAACCCTGAGCGCACTAGACCCTAAACCCGAGCCCTTTTACGACTCAAAGCCGCCCCCCGCCACGTGCCTGGTTCATGCCGGGATGCTCCACTGCAAGCAGCAGCTCTTGGCCCGTCTGGCTCTTCAGCTGCTTCTCCTCTGCAAGTCCCATGAATCAACACCTACTTGTGCAGTATCCTGGGAACTATAGGTTGACCTTTGGGAGTGTGTTGGGATTAGATAGATAGGGACTACTATGGCACCCCAGGGATTATCGAGGGACTATAGTAACTATAGTACCCCCAAAGAGGTTAAAGGTTGCCTGCGCAACAACTTTGAACACAAACCAATAGGATTACTTTAACGACAAACAAGCCCTGTACGATGCCTCCACCAGCTGCGTCACTTGCTGGGCCAAAGCAGAGTCCAAGTTGCAAGTTTCAGCGTTCGCACAGTCGAGGCATCGCCAATGTAGCCTCGATCGGTGAACGAAGTCCTGCAATCGCCAGTGCTGCTCCTGCTTCGCCTTCACCCATGCGCCCAAGCGAGACAAGAGCTGCCGCTGGAGTGCCGGGCTGGTCTGCGAGCATGTGCCCTGCATGTCGATGAGCAGAACTTGGGGCGACCAGTAGCCAAGGCCGTAAGCAGCCACTCCCAGTGTCGGGATCTCATGTTCGTACAAAACGGCCTTTTGAAGTGCCCGCTCGCCGTCCATGTCCTTGTTGACCAAGGCGACAACAGTGCTTTGTCGCCTCTCCATCATGCCTAAGACGAAGCTCATGCTGGCAATTGCCCACATGTTCGTCAGCAGCTGGCGCGTGGCTTCTTTGTAGCAGTCCACTAGGTCATCGTTGCTGTTAATGACCTGAGAACTACTTGATCCTACGCGAGCAAGAACAACTTCTGAGACTGTACAAGATAGAAACAGACCAAACATCGTTCCCCAACCCGAACCATTTCGCCGCATTGTTCAGTTCCCACCCTATTTCTTCTGTCCCGCCTGCCCTAGCCAGCTGTCGGGATGGACGGTGGCATGGTCCGTGGCAGTGGCAAACTCATGTAGTGTCTGTAGGGTGGTGCGATTTCTCGGGTCCGCATCCCAAAAACCGGCCCACAGCATGGCAGGGCTGTGTGTTCGGGCAAGGGGGATCAGCCAGGCCCGCAGGAAGTAGAGCGCATGCACCGTGGCCACGGTGCCTCCGTCCAGCTTGAGGGATGCCAAGTCGTCTATCGAAACCTGCATGGCCTCCACCAAAGCACTGCCACGGACGAAGATGTCGTCCACGCTCTCATTGCAAGTCTTCTTTGGGAGCGGCGGTGTGTAATACTGAAACACAAAGTGCTCTTGAGGGTTCCGTTCTTCACAGGCGGCTGTCAGGTTGGCGATCACGTTGCCGAGCTGCCGGAAGCAGCCTGAGACACCGCCCTCCGCCCAGGCATTTCGGATACTTCCGATCCGCTCCTTCAACGAAGTCTCGTCGTGCGACGCCTTTGCAACGGATTCTCCGCCCCACAGCATGCGCTGCAGATGTTGCTTTGCATGCATGCGCTGCAGATGTTGCTTTGCATGTGTGAAACCCTGCGCCCAGGCCCAGCCAGCTCCTCCGGAGGGCGTCTTCAACGACTCTTCCTTGGCGAGCTCTTCCAGCAGCAAGCTTCGGAGCTCTTCGGACGAAGTGTTGCGCCAAGTCGGTAGAGAACTCGGGGCTGCGTCGTGCTCTACACGGATCCCGAGCGCCCAAGGAAGAAAAGCGGCGAGGAGAAAGGCGACAGTCACCACACCAGGGAGTTGAACCATGGCTACTACTAGGGGCGAAAATAATTACCAATGCCATTTTGGGGGGGGTTCCCGATTATGATTAGAGTACAATGGGTCAGAAAGGAATTGAACCATGTGTACAAAAATGGGGCCTTAATCGTTAGAATAGGGTTTTGGAGCCCATTATATCATATCCATAATAAGGAAGCCCCAAAATAGTATATAGGCATATAGGTAATCCTTAATTAAGGCCCCGGTATTACATGAATTATCGAATGTCACAGACGGCGTCCTGCTAAGCAGGCAACTTGAACACGAAGGTCAGATTCAAGCATTGGAGCACCTAGCTCTGCAGTTGCAGTACTCATTAGAAGGCCTCGAACAAAGTATGCCTGTATTTCCTCCAGATTCGTGGGGGTTCCCTAGTGTACTGATATGATGACGCACTACCATCGGCACCTGTCTAATAAATCGATGTTTACGTGCGTCGGAATCGCTTCTTGTACATGTGGCCCGATGCAATGACTCTTCTAGGGCCTGCTGGTTGCAAATACTGCTGCTTTTGGTAAAGAAGCGCTACATGCCTCTAGCGTGCGGTCGAAAGTCACTGCGCGGGTTCTAACACGATATTTCGGCGGAACGGCCTCTATAGCCACGTACAGCTCCCATACCGCTTTTGTAGTGTGTCTGCGCTAAGTCCCTTGATCCTCCAAGTACTTGGAATCCTGGTTGTTTTATAAGTGGTTAACATAGTTATGTGGAGTTGTACCCTAGTTATTAAACTGTTATAAGTGAGTGTTAACCGTCTATTAAGTGATTACATGTTCCTATAATACTTATATCTTTTATGTTATGTTACTAAAGTTAATATTTTGTTAGCTAAGTAACATAATTAACTTAACCTTTTATAAAAGTTAGGGTGAGTTACATGGAGTTATGGATGTTGAAATATAGGCTTTAAGAATACGAAATTCATACATGGAGATGTAATATTTCAATGACATGTATTCTGATTTGTGGTGCATAATTCGTCGAGTGCACTGAAGGTATAAGATAAGAAATCATGGGTTTTAGAATGGAATCGAAGTTTTTGCTGAATGTTATCATTGATTTTGAAGATTATAGTATGGACTGCCAGAGATATATGTTGTTTGCTTTTAGCAAATAATTTATCAGAGTTGTTGTTCGATTTTTTGTATTTGGCATTGCATGTGTGTGATCATGGGAGCCAGACGGCCATAGCAGTGTGCTCATGTCTTTGTATTGCATGGTATGTTTGCTGCAGCCACCCGGCCATAGCGAGTGCCAGCTACAGCTTTCCACGTCCACCATAGCTTCCAAGCATGGTGGAAATTCGTGCGGCCATCCAGATAAAGTACGAGTCGGAGAGGCCAATCCTCATCCCCAAGGATCTGGTGAAGCTGTCCAAGGACAAACAGTGGCTCCAACTTCGGCCCACTTCCCAACCCATAATTGAGTTGCTCACAGGCCAGAGACCCGACAAGAATGCCAGTCTGTCGGGTTCTACGGCCATGGCCAATCTCATCAAGAAGAGGAACCAGAGCTTCGACCAACCAGCAACACCAGCAGAGCAACTTTTCGATGCTCCAGAGCCAGGCTCAGGAAAGAAGTCGACCAGAAAGAGGTCTCTTCCAGACAACCAAGAAGAAGAAGTTGCCATGGACATCAATGGTTCCAAAGTCACCTGCTTGATGAGTGGCAAGAGGCCAAGGAGGTGCGATCTCACCATCCAACTCGAACAGCACCAGATCGAGACCATCATCAAGACCATTCGCAATGATGAGGATACGGCCCAAGTCCTCGGCCAGGCCAAAAGAAGCTACAAGAAGAAAGCCAGGTAGTAGCCACGACCAGTCCAGGAGTGACTCTTCCAGACTCTGCCAGGCCTTCGCAGGAAAAGGCTTGCTGCAGAACAGTTTTGCAAGTGTCAAGTGTTGAAGGGATGCATACAGTTTTGTTTGCTTTATCGTCTGCCTGCAGCCAGTATAGGCCATCCATGCATATCCATGGTCGCAGAACCATGCCACTGTTGAACCCGACAGATATATATGCAGGTGGTTAGAATCCAGCAGTTCCAGACGAGCAGAAAGAAGTTGCCCGGCACAGCCACACTTGAATTCCAGATAGGATATACCAGACAAGGCCACAGCCGCACAGAAGCCAGAAGCCATGGCTGTCCCTCCAGCTGTGGTCCAAGAGGTGGAGGCCATTGTGAATGGCCGCGAGCCAGTGAACACCAGAGTCACCAAGGTCTTGCAGGTGCTGGAGCACCATGGCCTCTGCCAGCAGCAGACCTTGGTTCCAAGCCAAGTTCTTTGCCACCCCTCCAACCGGGGAGGGCAGATGGTGTCCCACTTTGACGTTTGGGCCAAGGGACACCAACTCTTGGCAGTTGGCCTGCAAGTGCATCTGCTCCAAGGGTCCATTTGTCTCCAGATGTCCACGGACCCCCAAAAGCGCCAGCAGCAGGTTTGGAGGAACCAGCAGCTGGTCCAGGAGAGCAAGGGCTCCCTGGCCCCAGTCAGTGGAGCAGAGGGCCACTCAGATGACACATAGAATTGGTTTCCTTTTCTCTATATATCCAATCCATTTACAATTTGCGGATAAATGTATATTGTAGACATACATTGGCCACTGAGGATACCTATCCCTTGCCAGCAGCCACACCACGGCATTCTTGAGATGCCTGGAGCATGGGACCACGGATCCCAGTGGCAAAGCCATCTCCGTGCCCAAGACAGACCCAGTCTGGTCCGCCATCCAGACCGGGTGGCGGTGGCATGTGGTGGCCTCCAGTGTGGAAGAAGCCATGCCAAGCCTTCCACAGTTCTTCCAAGTCGGAGCCAACTCTGGCAATGCCATTGGCAGAGCCACCAGCGAGTTGGAAGCAGCCTGCCAAATAGCCATTCAAGTGCAAATGGGAGCCAGTCTGGAGTCGGCAATCCAGTCCGTTGCCAGCGGCGAAGTTGCCTGCAGGCAGAGCCTCCCAGCCATAGGGCATTATGTCTCGAGATACTCTGGAGGCACAAGCTTTCCATTGCTGAAATTCCTTTCCCACTTCTCCTCCACCTACGGCACCACGTGCATGATGGGCCAGGATTTCATGGAGGCGTTGTCGCACACCACCTTCCCAGACCCTGGCAACCTTTACCCATTGCTCCGCACAGCTCTATGGGCAACCCAGTGCACATCCACCAAACAGCAAGACGGCTTCGCACGACTCCTCACCAGAGCCGACGTCCAGAGACTGTCGTCGCCACAGAACATGGAGTCCGTCAGGACGGCGGAGTCCATGCTTTCGGATTCCTGGAAACTGGTCCAGAGCCAGCTTCCAGAAGGCACCAGCACCAATGCCGGCAGCAACCATCTCTACAAGTGTTTCGGCAAGTTTTGCGTCAGAGCCATCTTGTTTCTGACCAAAAAGGAAAAGCTTGGCCCTGATGCCCAGCAGAAGCTGGAGTCCCTGGCCCAGATTCTCGACCTTTTCACCCAGGACGTTTCCAAGGTCAAGCAGGCCACCCCAGCTGCAGAGGCAAAGACCATCAAGGATGCAGTCTCTGCCCAGCCATGGGAAGCCACCTTGCTCCAGAACACCCACATCAAGGTGGGCGACCAGTGCCCATGATTGCACATAGGAGTTTTGCTGTTTTAATGTCTGTTCCCTCATAAGATTCTGCTGTAGATACATTCCATACACAAACCAAGGTACACCTTGCCAAAGGAGCACGGAGCCAAGGTCTACCAGCTCCTGCAAATCACCAACGAGCGTGGGACCATGGAGCACAGGCCAGTGCTCCAGGCACCGGAGACAGTCCATGTGCCGCTGGCGGGGCTGGGGAAGTGGCGGGTCTCCCATGCCAGCCATCGGCCCAGCCGACATCATAACCAGGGGACTCCCATCCAGCCCAGGAGGACTTCCAAAAGGCAGCTGTGGTCACGGCACTCCACCAATGCTACCAGGAGCAGTCGGTCGAGGACTTGGAACTCCTTTGCATGGCTTCCAGTCCCCAGGCACTGTATGCCAAGAAAGCCATTGCCAGCAAAAAGCTCAAGCTGGTTCCATTGGGTTCCATCAGCAAAGTGAAGACAGGCCAGAAGCCGCCCAAGCTGGCCATTCAGGCCTTCGGCCATGACTGGGCCATTGGAAGCTGGAAGCAGGACCTCCAGTTCCAGGCAGAGGGCACCATCGTGCCATTTTTCTGGTGCAGGACAGCAGAGGGCGAGGATGAGGGCAACATGGTCTTGACTACGATCAAGCAGGGGCCATGCACCGTGCCCATCCTCCATAACCCTGCGAAGATCCAAGCCAATGAGCAAATCTTGCAGAAGGTCGAGGAGGAAGCAGCCACGTCGGCTTCAGCCAAGAAAAAGCCCAGGAAGGGCTGACCCAGCCTCTATGGGCCATGCACATGGGATCCATCCTTGCACCATGCGGAGCTGCAGGAGTTTTGAGGGTTCCAAGTTTTGCAGAGCTGCAGGGACCAGGCTGTTGCGGCAAAAACAAGCACCTTCTTGGATCCAGGTGACTTGAGCAAGCCTCCTGTGGCTGTCCCAGCACCGATTCTGCTTTCTAGCCTGCCACCATGGCTATACCATGTCTGTAATTGTCTGCTTGATCCAGCCACTTCTTCCCAAGAGCTTCCTCCGCCTGCACCATGCCCAAAGCCATGGTCTTCAAGAAGCCTGCTGCCCCCATGAAAGCCATGAAGGTGGTCCACAAGGCAGCTGCCCAGAGCAGGAAGGCGAAGGCCAAGAAGAAGTCAGCACCTGTGTGCAAGGCGAAAGCCCAGAAGAAGCCAGCAGCCAACTCCAAGACCGAGAAGCCAGATCTTCCGCCTCTAGAACCCTGGGAGTACGGCCGTGGCTGGGAGGAGTGGCAGATGATGTGGGCGGACCCCAACTACGAGCCATGGGGGGGCCAATGTGCTCTGCCCAAGGATTTCCATAGAAGGTACCGCACCAGTTGATGCAGACTTCCATGCACTCTGCTTGTTTGCGAGGAAAAGTACATGTAGCAGGACTCTCCTGGAGCAAGTGAGCCTTCAGGGGCCATGTCATGCTTGCTTTGTTATACTTCATGCCAAGTTCGACGAGTGCATGCACATCCCAGCCTGCATGGCCATGCCAGGGATTTGTCGTGATTGCTAAAGCCAAACATGGCCATCACAGGCCCAGGCTCTTCAAGACGGACCGCAAATGTGAGGTCAATGCAGGCCACATGAACTCGCTGCACAGCAGCCAGAGTTGCAGGCCCAGAGCAGAAAATCCAGAGCTTTGTCCTGTTTCTATATACGAGGGACATGTAGCCACTGTGGCCATGCCAGGCAAGTTGCTGTGTTGTGCGAAAGCCAAGTGTACATAGGACCATGCCATGCCGTCACGTCTCAGCATTTTGGGTTTAGGGTCGGAAATAGAAGTGGAAATGCATAGTGCAGTTTGACCTTAAGAGACTCTAAACCCTGGACCCTAAACCCACAAGAATATACCCTTACATCCCAAAGCATAACCTCCCAAACCCGAGAGCTCGAAGCGCCATTTCTAAGCCAGGCCCTGAAGCAAAGCCAACACCATCCAAGTCCTCCAACCGCCAACTTCTAGAACCCCCAAGCTTCGTAGGGTGAAGCCAAGCCTTTGCAGGGAGCCAAGTGGCCATGCCAGACTGTTTGCACTTCCATTCTAGGGAGCCAAATGGCCATACCAGACTGTGTGCAGAGCCATGCAAGGCAGGTCCATGCTGCAGGAGCACAGCTTTTGCCAAAACACAGACCATTCGCAGCAACAGCAGCTGCCAAGCCACCAGGTATCTCCACGGCAGCATTGCTGAGGGTGCCATCAAGACCAAGAAGACCAAGAAGACCACGAAGGCTGCCGGAAACCCAAGCACAGCAGCTGTGCACCAGCGGCCAAAAAAAACGCCTCCAGTTTCGATTGCCTGAGCCGTTGTGGCCATGCCAGGCCATTGAGTTTGTTGTTTGAAAGCCAAGTGGCCAGGCATGCCATGGCACACATGTTCGTCTCTCTTTTTCGTTCCGCTGCAGCCTCTTTTGGCCATATAGCGAGCTGCCCACAGCTAGCCAAAGCCTCCACTCCAGTGCCGCCATGGTCAAAGGAGTCAAAAAGCCAGCGGCTGCCAAGGAGGCCACGACCAGGAGCAAGCCCAGGGCCAAGAAGCCGGCAGCAAAGCACTCCACGGACTCCACGGCCGTCTCTTCCAAGCCCGTCCAGCCTCCACCACAGGGGACAGTGACGGCCCTCCCAAGCAGTGCCATGCTTCCACCACAGGAGCCCATCGGGCCGCACGTAATGCTGCGGTGTGTGGTATGCCACCGCTCCACTATCTTTCTTTGGAAGCTCTATCACAATGCCAAGTGCACCCAGTGTGATTCCCCATGGATCACCAGCTTGGCGGGAGGAGCAGGCCTCGTCTACAGGTGGTGAGGGGCCACCCACCACCAGCAACCAGGCACCATGGGCCACTTTCTTCCATGCCACCAGGGCCTCTCTCCAGACGGCCGAGGTCGGCCATGGCTGCAAAGGTATGGAGGCCATTGGTTTTTTTTGAAGGACCCAGCCTGCACCATGCAGGCCAGCAGCAGCATCTCCAAGCCGTGCCAAAAAAAGGGTGCTTGAACTCAAGAAGCCTTCCATGGCCATACCAGCAGCAGGTTGTCACATGCCAAGCCACAAAGGCCATCACATGTGTTATTTTTTTTGTCGGTTATATATTTATATCTGCACAGATGTATGCTTTTTTCTATATGTTCAGAAGACCATTTGGGTGAACATCCATGGAAGGACACATACATGTTTTGTACAGATATAGAGACATATATAGAAATGATTTGTCTGGAGTAACTTGTTTGTATATTAGATTCTGATTGTAATGAAGATATCTTTGTAAGCCATGTATCATATACTCAGCACCAACAGAAACAGGCAGAAGAAGAACAGCAGCATGAGCAGTCACAACCAGAGCAAGCAGCAGCTGCACACTGGAAGACCAAGAAGGACAGCTGGCCACGGCCACAGCAGCAGCAACAGGGGCACCAAGCTTGAGACCAGCATCCATTCCGATAGGGGTCTATAAGCTTCATGGTTTAGGGTCTGAAATAGAAGTGGAGATCCATAGTGCCGGTTCACTTCAGTAGACCCCAAACCCCAGACCCCATATAAACCCAGAACGATGTACCCATGAACCCCAAAGCCGAAACCTGCGAAACCCGAGAGCTCCAAGCGCCATTCCTATGCCAGGCCCTGAAGCAAAAGCCACCAAATCCAACTCCTGAAACAGCCAACTTTCTGCAAGAACACCCAAGCTTCGTAGCAGCAAGCCAAGCCATTGTAGGGAGCCATGTGGCCATGCCAGACTGTTTGCACCACCATTGTAGGGAGCCAATTGGCCATACCACACCGTCCCTTTTGTCAGCCCAGGTAGGTACGTGACCACAGTTGTTGCCAGAATCTTTGCTCTTCGGAGCAGCCCAGAGTGCTCGAACCACTGTAGGAAGCCACAGACAGAAGTTTTGTATGTCACCATACTGCCAAAGTAAGAAATACAGTAGATTCAGAATTTGAATCTAATTCACAGATTCTGGTAGTTAGATTCAAATTTTGAATCTAAGATTCTCCAAGATTCAGAATATGAATCTAACTACCAGATATCCGCATTTAGATTCAAATTCTGAATCTAGCCATTTTACATACATAACAGCCACCATATAAACATCATCAAATATTTCCACATAAACTCAGTCGTCCTCCAGAGTGCCAGCCATGGCCACGTCGCCGACGGAGGTGCCAACGAGCCCCAGCGAGCACCCCACCGAGGTGCCCACAGAGGAGCTGGCCGACCCAACCTTGCCAGAAGAAGGCCCACCAGGGCAACCAACGGTCCAGATCCCCCTGCGATGCCCATCCCCGGTAGCTCCCACCGAAGCCAGCCCCACACAGCCAGGAGCCCCGCCATCACCCGTCACACCACTCGACGAGCAGACCACAGCCCAACCTCCGCCCAAACTCAAACCCCCCATGACCCAACCCGTCCCCCCAATGCCATGGCCCTTCCACGTCCCAATCCCCAACCCATGCCCAATCCCCAACCCATGCACTGGCTATGCTCGGCCCAGGCCACTTGTGCCAGCACTGGCACACACCTGCTTTGAGGCCACCGCCACACTGCCCATGGCATCCACAGCACCCATAGCACCATGCACCTGGCCAACACCAGCTCCCATGTGCATGCCTCTTCTCCCCACCACCAATCCACTCCTACCAAGGATCCCCTTCCACCCCCCCGCCACTTCGCCCGCAACATGGCCAATCCCCGCTTGCCATGCTGCCACCGCACCCACAGCACCCAAACCACCAGTCCAGTGTCCCGCCAGCAGTGGCCTCCCAGTGTCCTTTGCCCCACAGCAGCTTCAACCAACCGCCCAATACATCCAAACCATCCAGCCCAAAGCCCCTGTCAGTGGCCCAGACATGGGCCCCAAGCTGCCGTCCAAAGCGCCACCCACACACCAGCAGAGCCCCTCCCACACACTCCACCGCACCACGGCCATGACACCGCCACCAGGCAGCACCACACCCAACACACCGGCACCAGACGGCACCACACCCGGCACACCGCCGCCAGACGGCACCACACCCATCACACCGCCACCAGGCAGCACCACCATCACACCCAAACCCAAGCTCAAATACCCACCCACCCGAAGGCCACAGACAGTGCATGAGGAGGTTCCAATGACACCACCCCCAGCCAAGTCCACCATTTCCACCCCTTTCAGCACCCCTCCAACCCCAATCCCACAACCCAAGACACCACCCACACCACCGCCGCCAACAACCCCACCAGTGGGAGGGATCAACCTGCTCCAACGAGCCCAAACCCCACCAGGATCACCGCCACAATCAGAGGCCAGGTCCAGCTCCAGTGCACCAAAAGCCAAACCTCTCATGCTGCGAGCAAAGTGGGCCTGTCCACCACCGGGGCCACCACCAGCAGAGCCAGTTCCGTGGAGCCAAGGCATTTCAGGAACCAGCCACAGCAAGACCAAGAGCACGGGCTGGAAACATAAGGTTGGCTGGCTAGCCATCTTGCTCCACAACCAGAGATGGACCAGGGCCCAAGAGCTGGCCAGTGTTTTCATCCAAGAGGCCAACGAGCAAGTCGCCACCGGGGCAACCCAACTGGAGACTGCCAGTGGTTCGCCAACATGGTGCCAGAAGTGCCTTTGGCTTTCCACAGCCATTGCCAAGGACGACCATGGACGAGCCCAGAGACAAATCCAGTGGCAGCTCGACCAGATATAGATTCCATAGTTTTCATTCTACAATAACAATAACAGCATGCAGCATAGGCTTGATCCGGAAACCTCCCAATCTTTTTTGTTGCCATTTAAGCCATTCAGTGGTAAAGCCTGCCAACCACTTGGCCCAAGGTACATGGGGGAGCCCAAGTTCGGGGCCTGGGTCCAGGACCAACTGGACCAGATGGAGAGATCTGGGGCCACCACTCCAACGGCCATGCCAGATCGCTACAGAAGTCTCCAGTGACCACAAGGCCAGTGTGTCCATTCACAAAGATGACCCATGCAGTTTGCTCCTGCCAGGACCAAGGACGACCATGGCTTCTTCCAGACAAACCACGTGAAACCACAGCTGCCACAGTGGTCGCTGCCAAAAAGAAAGCTTTCAGTGCTCTGCCATGATCTGCATGCAAGCCAATCGGCCATACCATGCTTTGCGAGCCATGTGGCCAGCACCCTATTTTTCGAAGCAGCCAACTGGCCATGAACACATATTTATACTATATATATATATATATCTCTCTCTGAACTTCATTTCAAGTCGCATTCCTTTGTGTTTGTTTCCCATGCTTTCTTCATTGCAGCCTTTTAGGCCATTCAGCCCGACCAGGCCAGTGTGAGCAGCCAGTGCTTCTCAGGGCCATGCAGCGGTACGGGTGCCAAGACTTCGTCGAGGAGATTGCTCATCTCCAGAAGCTGGCCGAGATGCTGCCAGACTCACCAGTCACCGAGAGCATGGCCAACACCTTCATGGCTAAGATCCAGGGATTCCAGTCCTGGTCCTCGGAGAGCATCTGCCAAATGCTTGCCAAGGCCGACGAAGCTTCCAAACTGCCAGAGGCCATGAAAGCAAAGATTCTGGACACCATCCAGAATTTGTCCATGAACACCGGCTCCCAGCTCAAGTTGGTGAACACTGGCCAGTCCGTCCAGCGGCTGTGTCCATACTTGACCAGGCCAGACTGGGTCGCTTTGTCCACCCTCACGAGCCAAACGGACCAGCTGGAGCTCTTAGCCAAAAGACTCCGAGCCATGGGACTGCATTCTTTAAAAGAATGCACCAAGGGCCAAGCGGTCGCCATTGTCTTGATGGTGCAAGCTTCGCAAGGCAAGCCAAGCCTTTCGGCAGCTGCCATCAACTCGGCAGTCCAGGACTTCGGAATCATCTTCCAGTCCCTGCCAAGCAGCAATTGCCCCGGCGCCAGCAGATATCCAGACCATCCATCAGAGATGGGCCAGCTTTGGCTCTCCAAGGCCTATGGTCCAGGCGACCAGCCAGATCTGCAGGACCCATGCCTGGCTCCATTTTTGAAGAAAGCCCCTTGGTTGCATAACTTGGATCTGTTCCGTGTTGCATTTGTTTCTTGCATGCATGTAGACATTTCTACGTCTTCGTCCCCGAGGTGCCTCTTCGAAGCACCCATGCTTCATTGGCCGGCGGCACCAGGTGCAGGTCCAAGCGGCCTCCAGCGACACCTCAGGGCTCCACCTTAAGCTTCGACCAGGAGCTGGAAATGCTGAAGCTGCGGCATGGCATCCAAGCCCAAGCAGCCACACAAGGCACAGCCACTCTGCAGGGAAGCCAAGGGCCCACCGCCGCAGCAACAGCAGTGTTGCCTTGGCTGTCGCCGCGAAGCATGGTCCAGTCCCACAGCCAGAGTGCTGCCAGCACAACTGCCCCTGGCCAGGTCTTTGGCCAGAGCACAGCATCTGCCGCTGCTTTGCCACTTCCTCCGGCAAGCCCGCCTCCTGAAGCCACGACCAGAGTCGAAGCAGCTCCCACGGAGACGACTGCCAAGGAAGACAGTGCCAAGCAGGACACGTGTATATTTTTGTTTAGTTTCCTTCCATACTGCTTATTCGGGGTTGTTCTGCAGCATTTCACCCTGCAAGGACGCCAAGACATTGCAGGAGTACGAGCAGGAGCAGTTCCAGAAGCTGCTGGATGCCAAGGCCGACAAGAAGAAGAAGGCCAAGGAGGACGGCCAGGCCGACCAGAAGCCCAAGAAACAGCATATGAAGCGGCCAGCAGCAGCCATGTCTACCCGACAAAGCTCGGCGAACCAGGGCACCACCTGCAACGGCCATGAGGCTGGCAAAGGTGCCACCGCCGCCAAAGGCGGCAGCACAAAGATCCTCTACGGATGTATCCGCTGTCGTGGTAATGTTAAGGGATGCTCCAGTTGTTGGGACCCAAACTTTCGGGGCACCCGTCTCCACGGCCGCCAAGCTTGGAGGGAGTACATCGAGGCCCACAAAGCCAACAAGGCCATGAAGAAGGCTCCCAAGAAGTAGTGCCAGGCATGGTTCCAGGCAGTTTGTTTTCTTGCAGGGCAGCACCAAGGGGCCCAGGTGCAGGGTAGCAAGAAGCCACAACAGCCCAGGCAGGGTGCACCGTGCCGACACGAGCAAAAAGACCGCCTGCATGTCTTTGGACAAAGTGATTCTTTGAAGCCATGCCGTGGCCATCCTGCAGCATGCTGTTTCTGTGTATATATGCACTTCCGAGGTCTTTGTTGACGCACTGTGCCCGCCATCGCTTCAGCAACGAAGGTTCCAGACTTCTCCCACGAAGAGGTCCATGCATGTGAGTCTGACATCCACAGCCTATATAGACAGGGATGCAGCCTTCATCCATATAGCACACATACCATTGATTCCCATGTGAAGCAAAGCACATTGCCACTGCCCTTGCCCCCAAACCCACTCTCAGCCATTTTTGGCCATGGAACCTCCACAGAAGAAGAGCAAACTGCAGCAGCTGCTGACCTTCAAAGCTGCTTTGCCAGGTCACTCCCAAAGTGCACTGGCTGCTTTTGTGGAAGTCGCCAAGGAACAAGGCCTCCCAGAGAAGAGCTCTTCCAATGACCAGCGGAAAGCCAGGGAGGAGCTTCTACAGAGCTGCCATGGTGGGCTACTGGGTCCTTTGATCCAAGAAGCAGAGGTCACCACCGATGCTGGTGCCAAAGTCACCATGTACTTTGCCAACCTCTTGGTTTACCTGGCCAGTCTTTTCCAGATGGGTGGAAGCTTCCATGATCTGATCCAAAGGAAGCACCGAGCCAACCCATCATCCGTCTCCAAGCCATGGCAACTTATACTTTATGCAGATGAGGTGATACCAGGAAACGTCTTAGGACCTGCCCAACGTAAATTTTGGGCCATTTATGCCAGCTTCAGGGAGATGGACCAATTCCTCCACCACGAGGACCTCTGGCTGACCATCTCTCTTGAAAGGTCCAACTTCGTGAGCCATGTCCAGGGCGGCATCTGCCAGATCATGTCCAAGATCTTGGAAACCATTTTCGCCAATGCCCACGTGGAACCATTGGCAGGGTTTGTGTTGAGATCCCCACATGGCCCAGGTTCCGATGTCCGGCTCCATTTCCGGTGGGCCATATGTCTGGCAGACGGCGGTGCCCATAAGCAGATTTGGTCTTCCAAAGGTGATTCTGGTACCAAATTTTGCATATTATGCGCCAACATCCACTCAGGACCACCCACAGGCGACAACCACGACATCATGGACCACCGCACGACCAAATACAGCCAATTGGTTTTGACCACTGATGAAGACGTCATCCAGTCCTACCGCAGATTAGACGAAAGGCGAGCCACGTGCAGGACCAAAGCAGAATTCTCGCAATGGCAACAAGCCACCGGTTGGACCTGGAATCCCCAGGCCTTGCTCCTGAACCAGACTTTGTTGGCGAAGAACCAAGTGAAGCCAGTCAGCCAGTTCTGCCATGACTGGATGCACGGCATTCTGCAAGGAACGGCCCCAGTCGTGCTGTTCCAGAGCTTCCAAGCCATCTCCGAGCACTACAACATTTGGGAGGCCATGGGCCCATACATAAGGATGTGGAACTTTCCAGGTGCTTCCAAGGCCGGTCACTTGGCTGGTTTGTTCGACACAAGCAAGGTCGCCAAGTACAAGAGCAGCCAGAAGTTCAGTTGCCAAGCTTCGGACCTCCTAGGGCTTTATCCAATCATTCGCCATTTTTTGCATTCTGTTGTTGTGTCAAGCGGAATCTGCCCAGAGGCTTGCCAAGCTTTCTTGAGCCAGGCCTGCTTGATCGACCAGGTTCACCAAGGGGTCATGTATGGAGCCACCACCAGAGCCAGCCTTCTCAGGGCTGCGGAAGAATCCATCGAGACCTTCCAACAGGCCAACTTCGACGTGCCACTGATGCGGAAGTGGCACTGGCTGCTCCACTTGCCTGATATTCTCCAACGGCATGGGTGCCTGCCATCGACATTTACGAGCGAACGAAAGCACAAAACCATATCTGCTTTCGCCACAAGGCTCCAGAAAACAGCCGCCTTCGAGATCCACTTGCTCAACCAGGTGCTCGCCACCGAGATCACCACTTTGACACAGGCCGGGCTGTTTCCAGACTCCTGCCAGTTGGTGAAGCCAAAGAAGCCCAACAAGCACCAGCTGCAATTCCTCAACCAGTTTGTGGATTGCTCAGCAACTGAAGCCATGGTTGCCTCTATCGCGAGGCTCGCAAGGGGTGGTGCCATCCATGCCAACGACGTCGTGGTGTTCCACCAGGAAGACGGAAGATGGGACATGGGCCAAGTGCTTTTCCATTTGGAGCTTGGAGGCGACAAAGCCACACTCGTCCAACGTTGGAGGCCAACAGAGACACAGAAGACAAAGCAGTTCGCCAAGTGCTCCATCACCAACGAGCAAGGCTTCGTGTCCATGGACTCCTTGCTGTACCCAATGGTGTACAGCAAGACCACAGAGAGGGAGGCCACTGTGCTGCTACCGTACCAGCTGTACCACAGGCTTTGAAAAACAGTGCTTCTCAATCCGCCACAAGGCTGTACCACATGCACATGACATTTTTAGCCCTATAGGCCATGCACGACAGCCTGTCCATGCAGGCCATTGACATGTATTTTTGCTTTAAATTTGTTTGACAAGCTACATGTTTTATATATTTCATTTCCGATACCAGTGTTTATGCTCCATGAAGTGTCTTCTCATATCAGAGTCCCTAGCCTAAACCTCAATGCCAAAACACACAAGTTACTTCTACAATTTTGATGTCTATAACATAAGCTAACTCCACCTAACTTTTTAGCTAACTAACATAACTATGTTAACCACTTATAAAACAACCAGGATTCCAAGTAGACCCAAACCCTAAACCCCTATAGATCCCGAGAAGGAACCCTAAAAAGGAACCCGTTAAGGAACCCCTTAAGTTACTAAGTCACTAAGTCCCATGATCCTCCAAGTAAGCCCTACGCCCTGGCCCTAAGCCCTAAGCCCTTAGGGTTTTGGGTTTAGAGTGTAGGGCTTAGGGTTCAGGGTTTAGGGTTTCGGGCTTAGGGCTTAGGGTTTAGGGTCAGGGTTTAGGTTTTAGGGTTTAGGGTGTCAGGGGTTTGGGGCCCGAAGCCCTAAGCCCTACCCTGGACCCTGAACCACTCAGGCTCCCACCAAGGAGGTGATCCAGAGCTCCTGGCAGCCGAAAGCCAGGAAGTGAGTAGTTACGGTTTCGGGTTTCGGGTTTCGGGCTTCGAGCTTAGATCTAAACCCGTAGCCCGAAATCTCGAACATCTCGATCAATTTTGTTTTAGATCAAGAGTTGCAGGTTTGTGACTGACAAACTCCTTTTCCACAGCCTGGAATCCCAGACCTAATCCTGAGCTTCATGCCCGAAACTCTTTCCGCTGACCCAGACCGTGAACCCTTAATAAAAAGCCAAAGACACTGACGCCTAAAACCTACACCGTTTCAGGACCCCTCCTTGAGCTCGTGCGTAAAGCGTACCGTGCGCCGACAGCCGAGGAACCTGTGCGTTTGACTTTATGCTTGTTGTTCCTGCGGTTTGGCGCGTTCAGTGTTAGTGTTACGGCCTTTTAAGACTCTAGAACAAGACTTTCGGTTCAGGTTTTAGGTTCTGGATTTCAGGCTTCCAAAGCCCGAGGTTTGCAAAAATGGGGCGTTCATGTCTTCTGGGTCCTTTAATCAAAGATTGCAGTCTCCTTGGAAGTTCATGGGACTCGGGAGGTACAGTTATAAGTTACAAGTACCTTTACTGGGGCTATAAGTGGTTATAAGTATAGTTACCTATATAAGTACAGCTACCTTATTTAAGGGGGCTTAGGGCTTCTGACTAGGCCTGCACCTAAGCCCCGCAATCACCAAGTGTGGCATTCAACTGTGTACACTCCATATCCCACTGAAGCTGCCTGCTAAACTCAAAAAAGCCAATGCCCGAGCTTCGCCAACACAAATGCCCAAACAAGCTGGAGCGACCATGGATGAAGCGCATCCCACTCCAGGACGCCGTTGTCGCAGCCCTCGTACTCCTTGGCTGACAGATGCTATGCGGGGATTTCTAAAACTTATGGTCCCCGTCTGCACACTTGTTTAGGGTGTAGGTTCTGGGAACTGGTAGTTAATAAAGTCTGTAACAACGTCCCCCGTCTTCTGAAACGTTCGTTTCATGAGGGTGATCACGAATACCTTCAGACTTAAGACGTGCAGCGGATTTAAGAGTATCAACATTGGTCTGAGCATGGGACGTTCGGCAGTTTAAGGCTTGAGCTGCTTGAAGAATGGTTTAGGATTCAGGGTTTACGTTTTAGGGTTTAGGGTATAGGGTTCAGGCTTGAGGTGCTTGGAGAATGGTTGAGACTGTGGTGACTGCACTATGGCATACTATGGAGTTCAACCTTGCTATCTGCTGACCGATTGAAGCCAACGTAGATTGAAGCCAACCCTAAAGCCTAAAGCCCAAAACCCAACCAACAGTTGTTGTGGCAAGGCACGTGTGGTAGATGATGTCCTCGGCGGCGTATCGGCAGGCGCAGGGAGAGGAGCGTTCAGGGACTATAGGGACGCAGACATGCGCGAGCTGACCGTGCATGGTGTGCTCGCAGGGTCGAGTTGCTTGGATTTGGGAACTCTGCCAAGGGTTTGTACAAGATGTTGTACCCTGATCCCTACATGTGTCCACCCCTGGGGCCAGTTGCGGGACTTCCGGAGAATGTGGATGGACAGAGCCTGCGTTACCTTAAGCACCCTGGACTTCAGACATTGCAGCGTTCACCCTGTTCTGGAAATTGCAGTAAACCAGTCCATGAGCATGATTGTTCAACATCGATGCAGTTACGACAACTGGGGCTCGCGCCGAAATAAGATGTACTGCGATGGATAAACAGCACTCGACAAAGAGTACGTTAATGCAGCAGAACGTGGAAATAGTGAAAATGCTCGGGGTCCATTGGGAGTCCATCCTGTTCATTCAACAGCCCCAGGCAATGCACCCTGC